CTCTTTGGCTATTTTAAGTTGGTTATTTTTTCAGAAAAGTGAAAAATGATCCCAATAATTAGTTTTACAATTTCTAAAGATCAGAGTTGATACCTTTCTCAGGTCCAAGAGATCCTATCTTCTCACGCGGGGCGCAACTGTTGCTTTTCAAACCTATCGCAGTGTCAAAGGCAGATGTCATTAGAATGGGGGCTGGAGAGGGAAAGGAAACCATAGAGAAAGGGAAGTTGGAGACCTGATGTATAGTGTTTCACAGCAAGTGAAACAGAAGTCCCAGTAAACAAGAGACCACATACACAAACCCGCTGGGGATTTTCAAGGGGCCATTTATCAGAACAACTCCTAATCGCCCAACAAGTCTTTCACAAACCTCATCTCTAAGCAGTCTCAAGGGATTTTTCCCATCCTGTGATGATTCTTCATTTTAACACTTTCATACTCAGTAATTAGCTGGCATCATTAAGAAAGAAAGGTCAAGGGGGGAATGCAGTGGTAAAGAGCCAAGGACCTCTGAGACTTAAGGGCCCACAGTACTGGGTTCAAATCTCAGCTTTCTCCCTTAAGAGCTCTGTGTTGTTGGGCAAGCTATTTAATCTGTGGGCAAGTCCTACCTCTCTAAAACATCTAAACTCATGGGGTTATAAGTAATGAGAAAGCCCATGAATGAAATGATACTTGTGGACTACACTCAAATATATGAAATCTTAAAAAAATGGTCCTTTAAAAGTACGGTTTGATGTAAACCATTATCAATAGAAAGCTCAGTAAATTATTTTTTCCTAAGGCAAACTAACACAATTTAACTTTTTCTGTGCTGTATCTATTCACAATTATGAACATAAAACTATAAATAATATTCTGAGTTTAAATAAAGTTTACACAAGCTATCAATAAGTCTCTTTACAGACACACCCTGACCAGAGAGCCTCTGGTGGAAATTTAAGTTTACAGAGATGTTTATCTCTATGCCAACTATTTCCAAATCATTACACTTAAAATTAAAAAAATTAGAAGTAGCTATTTCCCAAGTGTTTATTCACAGAACCAATTTGTTATACTTGCCTCTTGTAAGTTCCTTTCTCCTCATTTTCTTCACGTGCTGATTCTAAGCGGCTGTAAACTCAGAAGCTGGACAACTATTTTCAACACAGCCTGATATGGTTAAAAAAACTGTGTATGTGCATAAGCTTTAGATTCAGCCTGCCCTGCTTTAAATCCCAGTTATGCTACTACTTTGCAACTGTGTGAAATTAACTTTTCTAAGCCTCAGTGTTCTCATCCTTAAAATGGAACTATTATCTATAATGAAATACTGTGAGGGGGTGGTGAAAAGTATCTTGCCAAGTGTTTTCTCTTCTCTGTCAACCCAAGCTAACCAATCATTGGTAATTATTACTAAGTAGTGAAGTTTACTGAAATCATGACCAAGTTAAAAATTCTGCCCTCCAGAAGCTGACAGCCTAATGAAAAAGATATGCAAGCAATGGCACAACACTTTGATAAATGACATAGTAAAAGAAGCAGTGCTCCATTTGAAGTGGAAATGTTACTCTGGAAGAGGTGATATTTGCTCTAAGAGGATTAACAGGAGCTCACCAGCTTGGGAGCTAAGGTCAAATGTGGGCAGACTTAGTCAAGAAAGAAGAAAGAGCACCCAGAAAGACCTATAGCAAAACAGAGCGTGGTAGGTTCTGGAGCAGGGGGTTTCCAGGAAGGTGAGAAAGACAAGTTCTGACCACACCATCACTACTAGTTTGCTGAACCAAGTAGAAGATGGCCCATGTTAAATAAGTAATGGGACACACAAAGGTATCTTAAGGACAGTAAAAGAGGTTTCTTGAGAAAAAAGGTACTATTGTATGCTTACATTCACATTATACCAGCCCTCCCACAGCTAAAATGGACTGGGAGAACTACAGTCAAAGAAAATACAGTCCAGGTTATAAAACAGCAGCAACTAACCTAAAGTAATTGTGCTAAGAATTGTGAGTGAAGCATGGATGTGAGAGACTAAGAAGGTAGTCTTGAGGACCTTTAGAAATCTAGGAAAATCCCCGCAAGTCTAGTGTGGATAAATGGTTGGGTCATGAGGTCCTAAGTTAAAATGCAGACAACAGAAAGAGAAACAGTTCTGACAGGAAAACAGTGAGCTTCATTTGGAATTTTATCAGAGGTATCTATCCATTAGATAATCTTACCAGAATTAATGCCAATGGGAGAAATTAACATTAAGGTAGAAATGGAAGACAAGGGCAAAAATAATGTCACCCAGAGGCGGCATATAGATTGCAAATGGGGCAATAAGTATCTACTGTAGCTGCTTATGATACTTTTCCTTTTTTAGCTTTCACTTTTTTTTTCAACTGGACAACCAAATCATCACTTGTGATTTGCATACTGCTTTAAAACGCTGTGAGATTTTTCACACAGGTGTGCTAAGTGTAGATGCTGAAGTTTCCTAAACATTGCGCCCAACTTCCTCAGCATCATCTCAGGCCTAGTAAAGTGCTTGGTGTCCAACAAAATAGATGAATAAACGCAACACGGCCTTTAGCTTAGTCAGCCAAGAAGCCAAAATGCAATGCTGAAAGACTTAAAAATTGCCTCAGTTATCATTTTGTTATAGATAAACATTTAATACAGAATAGGCTAAATATCTCTCCACATGCTGCTTTTTTCCCTTTAAAAGCATGCAATTTTCAGTGGTTTTGAAATGACTTTTTAGAGTTCAAAGACTTACTTAAAATCAACAACTGAAGACTATCCACACTTCAGATTTCTGCAGAAAAGTCAGAAGCAAGAAAATACAATTATTGAATTTTTAAAATAGCTTAAAAAAAGGAAAATACTAAATGTGAAAGATCTCACAAGAGTACTGAATATCTGACATTCGCTACTAAGAAGGAAAACCAGTCCACATACTTCTTCAGTGCTTTCTCTGTACACACTTAGTAAGTACACATTACACAAACTCAGAAAGTGAGTGTCCACATATTGAGGGGTCCAACAGGTGAGCTGGTGAGTAAGTACAGAGGACTGCTGCTGAGCAGAAGAAACTATGCAATAAAGACTTGAGTGTGAAGAGGCCTAAAAAGGGAGCTTAGCCAATATTCAAACTGGAGTGCTAGCTGTTTGCTTTTATTAGTTTTGTAACAAAGTAAAAAGATTTTAAGAGATCCATTGCTCAATAAAACTAAGAAAAGAGAAAGCTCCATGGTCTGTTTATAAGACTACACTACACTCCAATCTTTATGGCCAGACCAATTTTCAATACTTCCTTTCACTACTTGTCTTGGAACACTGCCCTTCCTCTCACATACAACTTTTTTGTTACTGACAGAGGCGATATGGTAGTCAGGGGAAAAAAGTCAAACTGAACATTAACCTCATGTTTAAGAATACCTGAAAATAAATTAAACTAATTGATTTTATTAGCATGTAATTTTACATACATGTTTCTGAGGGACTGAGATCTGTGTACAACTGATCTGCCTGCATGTGGGTCTTGGGAATGTCCTAGTAGAAATCTTTGATCATAGTCTTTTATAGTTGTTTTAGATTATGGGAGACTTTACGGCCCAGTTCGAAAGCCTCACTTCTGGAGTCAGCAGTTTAGCTCTAGCTTCATCATGCACAATCTGGACCTTTGGATAGCTATCTTAGCGCCTTCCATGGTAGTTCTTTTATCTGTAAAATGGGACTAATAATAAGCTTACTTCACAAGCCTCACCAAGAATACATAATGTTACCAGGAAGATACACTGTGCTATTTTTATTGCTGGACATTCAGTTAGTACCTATCAACTTTTAGTATTTCAAATAGCCTAGGTCCCACCATGGTGGGAAAACCAAAGGCCATTCTAATCACACACTGAAACAGACAATACTCTAAGCTTCAATCTTCCACTTGTCAAGAAGGTAGTGATCAGAAGGCAGCCTGTCCTAAAAATCCACCGCAAATAACAACCAAGTAGATCAAATACACACAGCAAGTCTACACTGTAATGGCATTAAACAGAGGAAAACCTAAGAGCAGTGTGCCTTGCACAATCCCCCAAGTTTTAAGAAACTATTTCTGCTTGTTTCCTAACACTGACCAGTGGTCATATCCTTTGGAAAAGTGGAATTTAGACTGGCTTCTCACACTTTTAGAAGGTGAGCAAGATGTCCTTGATGGCCATGTCATAAAATTACACTTTTATTTGGGAAGACATATTTTAAAAACTTTTCATTAAAATCACACCAGATTCTGATATTTCAAAATACACGTTTCAGCAGTCAAAGGCTGGCTAGCTTGGAACCTTTTAACTTTACCATTTCACCACCAAAGGAATTCAGTTTTATGTTTTGGGTTTGGCTTTGAGTATGGCTTTCTTATTCATGATTTTACCCTCAAATATATTGTGATGAAAGGGCACCTTTACTTACTACACGTGTAAGCCCTTCAGATGAAATCAAGGAGCAGAACGGTGTAACCGAAGTTAACATGCTTTCTGAAAAGCTACTCAGATTTCCTGAACACTCCAGGTACCGACGGACGATCTTACCCCGGAGCAAATGCGTATTTATTGTGGTGGGGGAGAGGAAGAAGGCCACACCCAAAGTGAACCCTGCACGGTGAAGTGACACCAAGTTTCAACACGTTTTAAACTACGGCTATTTTCGGTCCTCTCGCACACGGTCCCTGAATTCTTTAAAATCCCATCCGACCCGAAGTGCAAGGAAACGTTCCCCTGAGCCTCATTACTCAGGTGACTTCATTGAGTAACAGCAAAGTCCAAGATGGAGAATTACATCATTCGAAGGAAGGTTTAAATAACCCCGGAGCAGAAAGAGGGCCAAGTTCAAACGCTCAGCGCCCGGGAGCGCCTCGGTGGAGCCAGCTGCCAGTTACCACCTCCCCTCCCCGGGGCAAGAAGGAAGCGGGGCCCACGCAGTCCTCCGCGCGAGCCGGCGACCCTCCCGCCCGGCGGACCCCAGCTCCCGCCCGCCCCGCTCACCTTGGCCACGTAGTCCTTCACCTCGTCCAGGTCTCCGTTCTTCAGGGCCCACATGAACTCCTTGTCGCACATCACTGCGGCGGGCTGGCCGGCTGGCCGGGCTGGGGACGGCGGCGGAGGCGGCAGCACGAGCGGAGCCGCGGCGAGAGGGCGAGGAGCAGCGGGGAGGCGCGCGGGCCGCCAGGCGGGCGAGGCCTTGGGCCGCCGCGACCGTTGGGGCGGGAGAAAGAAAGTTCTTTCGCGGACACCGGGCCCAGCACAGGAGGTTCCGCCCGGCGGAGGAGAAGCAGAAGGATTTACACTTCCGGTTCACTCCCCGCGAGGGCCCACCCCCAACTTCCGCTTCCTCCCCCCTTCGGCCCCGGGCCGAAGGCGGGGCTTCCGAGCCCGCCCATACCTCCCGCCGCGCGAGGCCTCCTGTGCGCAGGCTCAGTGGCCAGGCTGGCAGGAGCCGGGGGAGGGGGTGTCGGGAGCGGCCGAGTGGGCGGGGCGGGCGGAGGGGAGTTGGAGCTGCGCGGCAGGCTGCGGCTGCCTGAGTGGAAAAAATTAGAAAAATGGATAATGGAAGGCATCTTGCTTACCTAAAAATTTCCGGAAGTGTTTCATTTGGATTGCTTCTCCCTTTTTCCTTCCTACCTGCCTCCTTTCCTCCCTCCCCCCTTTTTTTCTTGCCTTCCTTTCTTTAGTTTCAAACCATTCAAAAAAATTCCACACTCACAATTTATAAAATGTAAATTGTACCAGATAGCCGTGCTCTGCCTTGTGGCATCAAACTGAATACCTAGTCCTACATGTCCTTTGCTGGTCAGGGAAATGAGTTCCTTGTCTCCTTCCTTCCTTCTTCCCCTCCTTTCTTTCTCCCTGCCTTCCTTCCTTCTTATAAAGGGAAATAATATAACTCCCAACCTGCTAGATGTCATAGGTCAAGTTTGTGTCTTCCAGTTCCAGCAATGGATTCTAAGCAACAGCAGAGGTTAAGAGTAGGGAAAATTTATTGAGAGAGATAGGAAGGATCTGAAATTAGGTTGCCAAAGAGCCCACTTCTCAAAGGAGGTTTCATAGAGAAAAATCATGAGGTGGGTACAATGTAGGTCAAAACTGTGATCAGCCAGTAAGATTACAAGGATAGCCGCTTAGGTAATATTGATCCAGTGGGGAAACAGGTCACACAGCAAGTGTACATGGAAAGAACAAAAACCTTTTTAGGAAGAGATAGATCAGGGGTCCTGGTCGTCCACCGGGGTGACTGATGTCTATCTAGGCTTTCCTGGACCAGATGATGCCAGTTGTGGTATAATCTTTAATCTATTGTTTATCCCTCAGGGAGGCATGTAGGCCTGGTCATTCCATCTTTATCTTGATGCCTGACTTTTGACAGATGTGCCTCCAGCCATAGTTGTAATGTGTTCTCATCCTCTGCACGCCCTCCAGGGTCCATCCCTGTCTATAGCACAGTATTTCTTTTGTATTATTTTTTATTTTAAAGAGAATGATAGAAAAGAACAATAGCAAAATACCAACAACATAGACAAAAACAAAACAAAGCAAAAATAATAAAAACGATACAAAGTTTCAGAACAAAATGATAGGAATTAACAGTAGTTGTTATATTACATAATATCTTCAACGAAGTTGCTCAAGTACCAGATGTAAGAATGCAAGATTGATCAAACCATTAAAGAGAATAAAAAATAAAAACAACATGTTAGGAATGATACAGAGTTTCACTAGACAAGATGGTAGGAAATCACCTACCACCAATGGTTGTTATATTGCATATTGTTGTCTTCAAGTTAGTTGTTCAGATTACCAGATATAAGTGTGCAAAATTCATCAAAAAGAAAAAAATTAGGCATTAACTGTTCCTTTCAATAAACCATTGGACATCAGCAGTACAGTCATCCCAGATATCCTTCTGTATACACATATATATATTTTCCCTTCTTTCTTTCTTTTTTCTGCTTTCCCTCATCCTAGTTGTTCCTTCCATTGAGGAATTTCTTTCCCTTTCATAATATCTATTGTACATTTTGGGTTTTATATATTCTTTCAGGTTGTTACACTAGGGAGACAATATGATGTTTACACATGTGGGTCCGATTTATTTCACTTATGAATATGGTCTCTAGTTGCATCCATTTACCTATAAAAGCCTCGAGTTTATCTTTTTTATAGCAAGTAATACTCCACTGTATAAAAATACCACATCTTTTTTTATTCATTCCTCAGTTGATGGGCATTTGGGTTGTTTCCAGGATTTAGCTATGACAAATTGTGCTGCTATAAACATGGGTGCACACAGTATTTCTACCTAACTTAACTGTCTATATTTTTTACCATTCTTCCTTCTTCACTTTCCTTCTTCCCCTTCCTTCATTCTCTTCTTCTTTCCTTTATTCTCTCCTTCCTTTCCTCCCTTCCTTTCTTCTCTTCTTACCGCCTTCCTTCTCCCCTTTCTTCCTCCCTCCCTTCTTTCTTCCTTCACTGTGCAGTATTCTTTAGGTTCCATGCTCTGCTAAGCAGCCAGAAGATAGTATGAAGGGTAGAATAAAGCAATTCCTGCCCCAAGGAAATCTTCAACACTTAAAACAACGATGTGAATTTAGTAGTTTTAATACCATGTATAATGTGCTGTGGTGTGAATAACTTGAGAGTATGGTAGGAAAAAAAAAACCTAACTCAGCTCTCTGACCAGTAAATGACATTCAGGACTAGAAATTCAGTTTAACACCACAAGGCAGAGCAACGTTGCCGGGTACATCTCACGTTTCTTACGTTTTAATGTGTGTGGGTGTATGTCTAGTGAGTTGAAGCTTCCGGACCATTCCAATGAAGCAGTTCTATGCTTCCAAGGGTTTGACATAATACCTTGGAATGCATCAACCATGTGGCTTGTACCTCGTAACCCTACTGATCCAGACATGTACAAATGAACACAGAGAGATTTAATGACAACTCTTTATGGCCAACAAACAAAGCAAGTTACTTCGTTACTGTTGCCACAGATGTAGGGACTGAAAACATGCAATCTGGAGCAGATTGGTGTGATTTTCAGTGTAGGACCTACCCCTACTAATTTTGTGTCATGTTGGGCACATTATTTGACTGCTCTCTGATCTAGAGTTCTACGTGTACAAAATAAAGATAATAATGTTGTTCAGTAAGTACATTTTGCTACTATTTACTAACAACAGATACAGATTTCAAAGCAAAAGAAAAACCTCTAAATATTTAACGATCACCTATATTGTTATTCTACCAATTTTACTTCCTGATGTAAAGTTTGGGAAGTGGTGGATGTCACACCACACCATGCCACTGGTCTGCTGTAATGTGCAGGAACAGCTATCCTAAACCCAGCATCAGCAAAGACTTAAAGAAGCCAAGTTTAAAGTAAAAGAAGAGGGGCTGGGGATTTAGCTCAGCGGCAAAGCACCTGCCTGGCAAGCGCAAGGTCCTGAGTTCGGTTCCCGGTAGCAGAGAAAAACCAAAAAAAAAAAAAAAAAAAAGTAAAAGAAGGCAATTTATTTGAAGGTGGGGGAAAAGGAGCAGGAGGAGGAGGAGGAGCGAGAGACAGACAGACAGACAGACAGAGAGAGGAGCTACTCTGGATGAGTAGGGAGTATTCAAAAGGGAAATACTCCTGGCCTTCTTGTCTGCAGTTCCTTTTTATTGAGATCTGTGTCCCATGTAGACTCCTGGAATCTGATTGGCTCCCTGGCTATCTTTGGCCCTCCCCTTGAATGTCTTCTGGTCCTGTTTCTTCTGGTCCTTTCCTGTTGTTTGGTGGAGGCTGGGATTATGGGTGGGGGTTTAGGGACAGGTAGTTTAGGTTTAAAGATTAAATACAGGGGCTTATGTTGCTCACACTATTTTGGGACGTTCCTGAGTTTAGTTTCTTTGCCTTTGTCTTTCTGATTGCTCAAATCTACTCTTTAGAGGCAGAAGCTGCAACCCTTAGTATGTTTCTCCATTAACTTCTTAAAAAACTCGATAAGGCCTTCATCCTATCTTCTCCCTACCTAGGGGCCCCCTGTCCCTAACTGATAATTGGAAGTACAAATCCACATACACAGTGATGAACATTTTTAAAAACAAAACTCAAGGAAGAGTTGGTTAGGCAAATCCTGCAGTCCTCAGCTATTCTCTAAGTCACACTCCCACCTATGTGATCTCTGTGTTGCATTATACTGACGGCTCTTGATTTTCCATTCTAGTCAAGGCTTCTCCTATGCGATCCCCTTCCATATATTTAGTTTCTTGTCCATTTGAATGTCTTAAACTTAATATGTGTAAACAGGATCTAGTTTTCTATAGATTCTAAATCTAGTTGACTCTGTGTCCTTCCATATTTCTGTAAATAGCACCATGGAGCAGCCTGAGTCAGAAACATGAGAGTCATAATGTAACGGCAGAAATTCCCCTGGCACAAATTGGGCCATATTCCACAAGAAACCCGAGTCTATTGAGAACAAAACCAGAGTTTAATTTGAGTCTAGCCACCCTCACTTCCCTTGCCAATCTGGAAGCGGGCCAATGGCTAACTTTGTTTCACCTTAGATACATTTTGGTTTCCATTGGCAACAGATTGGGATGTTACATTCGCTGACCCCGGTGGGTACATGGTGTTTCTCTCATCCTGTTGGACCCCAGGTCAGTTGCAGGTCGCATGTCTAATCATGATAGATGTTTCCCCCATTATATTCCATTTGTCTCCTTTTTTACAACCTATGCATTCCTTTAGGGTTACAATGTTTACCTAGGGCCAGGAGATGGAACTGCCCAGGCAGGGTCACTGAGGGTTACCTAGGCTTAGGTGCCCCTTTATCTTGGGGAGACATTGCTGGGCAGTGTTGATCTGGGGAAATTAGCTCTTGTACTGTCCCAGGAGGCTTCCCAAGGCACCATGCAGGCTTTTACCAAACTATTTTATCTAAAATAATATGCTAAGATTCATTGCCCCCTACAATAAAGTCTCATAAACCCATTAGTAAGTTCTTTCAAATATATATTGAGTTGGTTCACTTCTTGCCATTTTCAATACTGAGCACACTCCCACCTCTCCTGCGGCCACTGTTATTTTGTTTGCTAATGTTATAGACTCCTGGCTAGTTTCCTCATTTTTACTATTATCCTTTTCTAGGTAATTCCCCACATGGAGTTACTCTTTTTTTAAAGACAGGAACATTCACTACTGTCTTAACCCTCCAGTGGCTTCCTGTTATACCTAGGTTATAATCCTGAGTATTTGCTGTGGCCTTGAGGACCGTCTGTGACCTGACCCTGCAGGTCCCTTCTGTCTATGACACT